CAGAGTCTCTCTCTTCCCCATTGATGCTCATCTGAAATAGTCTGCTTGATTGTTTAAAAAAATACACTTTCTTCTGATGTATTGTGAACTTGTAAATATCAGATAACCAACTTAAAACCCCCTTCCCATCCCAGTCTCAAGAAATAACACTGGAATTGTGCAGACATAACTTTCTTGAGAAAGTCTCCATTTTCTGTCACTTTCTATCCTTTGCGGCTGGTAAAATGACAGCTCAGACAACTTTTACATAAGGTATTTTTAGATTTTTCTCAGACATCTCTTATTTCTTTTATACAGGACCTTACCCTAGGGATCATTTTATTCTTTGATGGGGTCATTAAAGAATCACTCTATACTGGTTCATTATTGGAAGTCACTGCAAGATCCAGAAACACATGAAGAGTGGCAAGTGGTTTATACTTTAGCAAGAGATTTATGCTAGAAAGGAGAAGTCAAAGTGTTGACGATTGAAATAAGGATGATCATTTCATGAGTTATCCCCATTAGCTGGGGTTCCACTGCCCACAAGCCACTTAGTTTTCCTTGGAGGTCAGCATCTCTTCTCTCCCCAGACAAACCAGCCTAATACATGTGTGCAGGTTTAATGCTGGAAGGGAGGGGCCAGCTTTCCCCATACATAATCACTGTTTTATGGCTTTCACTCATTCCTGAGGTGTTAATGCAGATCAAATGGGAAACACTCGAGAAGGGACCCCTGCAATGCTACTGCATTGCCCAGCTCTCCCCTCTCAATCGTTAATTCTTATTGTAAGATCTAAAGGTAATTTTGTTTGCTCTCTTAATGTGTTGCAGTTCTCCCAGTGGCCCTTGCATATCCTTTCTCAAATTCCCATCTTGATCAATTGTTTGCAAATAATTAAGCTTTTAAGAGATAATAGCAAGAGGCTAATGTACACAACAGAGGCGAGGTCTCCCTCACTGTCTATGGGACTGTGGTCAAATTTGCTTTGATATCCTGAAGTGATTAGGTTGATTGGTATATCTGGGAAGTGCCATCCTTCTTTTCTTCACAAGAGCCTACTGATCTTTCTTAAACTGTGTCCTTGAGTTGCAATAACAGCAAAGGTGTTTGGGAGAATGGCCAGGAGTGACCAGAGGCCTTTAGGTTGCAAAGATTTGGAATGAATTTCCCATTTTCTCCCTAAAAATGGCACTTCTCCGAGATTACTCTTTATCTCTTTTGCAAAATGATGTCTGCCTTTGCCCATTGCATGGCCTCACAAGCCCTGTGGGCAAAAGGCAACAGGACTTTGAATGTTTTTTCAGCAGCCATGCCTGTGGCATGCTGCGTTTTTGTCAAGTCATTTTTTTCAAGTCTACAAAAGAATAACTCATACTGTCCACAAAAAGCTTATTTAGTAAAGATGCACAGGATTTAAGATATTTAAACGTATTGGGTTTCAGTTTAAAAGCCTACTTCTTTGTGAATTTTTGGCTGACTAAGGATTAGCTACATGAAGTCATGGCTTTCATGTGATTCTAGCAATTATAGACTTTTTTTCAGGGATTGAAAGTTTGTGGGACACTAAGGCCAAGAACTATGAGAAAAAGAAAAACATTCAGTTGACCTACCATAGACAAGGGTTTAGGAATTTTGTTGATACCTTTTTCTCCTCTTAACAATGGCCAGATTATTGTGACATTTAATTTGTCCAGGCTCATTCATTTCTATTTAAAAAAAAATATATCCCGAACAACGGAAAATTTCTTAATGGAGACAGAGTGCTGAGTCTCCATAGCTTGAGGCTGCCTAGCAATTATGCTGCATGAAATTAGACACAGTTTGTTCCAATTACTTAAAGTCAGATCACATGAGAAGTGACACAGGAAAAACAGGGTAGAACTTTTGAATTTTACGATATTTAAATTATGAAATCAGAAACTACGTGATATGAAGAAACAACCAAAATTTGCACTGAAATTTTGTGAGCCATATGACTGCTCTTTGAGGCTCTAGTAATCCAGGTAATGGTAATGATTCAAAGAGAATTTTCCTGACACCACTTGCGTAAATAAAATGTGAATTACATTTGCTTTGTAAGAATGTATGTAAAACTTGCTCACAAACAGGCATGCAAAAGTACTCTTGAAAACACAGGAAAATAAGTTACTGTGACAATTCTCAATTTTAAAAGTAACTAAAGATAAATGGCATAAATAATAATTTTTATACAGTTCTGGTCATAATACTAAGACACAACTAACATGACAGGGCAAAAGATTTTGCCATCCAACTATACCAAAGAGAGACTGTCGACATATTTATTAATTCTATTAAAAATCATTGTGATTTCTGTAAGACCTTGGAGACTGTCAACAGGTCATATTACAGAAAATGTTATAGATTGGAAGTTGCTTGTGTACTTCGGTGTACAACTTTTTATGGCAAATAGTGCCAATGGTGGGATGCCAACATTTGCATATTTCAAAATTGAGCTTATCTTCTGGCATTGCAATACTGTAAGAACTGCCAGCCTGGGTAATCTTTAACCAAATGGATCTTAGAACTCTGGGTGACAAAATCGAGGATAAGAAAGTTGTCTCTTGTTCAAAGTCCCGTAGTTAATGAGTGGCAGTATCATTTATACAATCTAATAGAGTCACCTATTGTATGTACAATTCTTCAACAAGTGTAGACATAGAACTATTGTATATCAAGCTGTAATTCAGCATTCTATCCATGGAATAAGAAGTTCATGTGGTTTGTATTATGTATCAAATCTTTATATAGTCAGAATTATGTTTTAAACCTTACAGTGATGGATTGCTTTAAACTCAGTAGCCAGTCATGAGACTTTGGCTGCAGTGGCTGGCATTCTGTTGAGTAGCACCAATGTCACTTATGATTTTAGACTTTTATGAGGTTTATATACCTTTATTTGAAGAAAGTGAGTCAACATCACCTTTGTGAATGAAGCCAAGAAAGTAGTGTCATGGATTTTAAATTGAATCATTTATGCTTTATTATGTATTTTGATGTTGCATCTGAGTGGAGAGCGTCTATCATAGCATGTTATAACCATTCCTTTGTTCCACAAGTATTTAGTGATTTTCTGTTATGTTCTAATCTGGGCTTTGAGGATAGAGAGCAAGCAAGGCAAGTAGGTTAGCACTGGTAGATGAGTGGGAAAAGACACACCAACAAGGAAATAAATAATTAAAGCAGGTGCTTGAGAGAGCAACGCTTGCTATTAGGGAAATAAGAAAAAAAAGCGATAAGGCAGGTGCTGGAGCGGTAGGAAGGGTAAAAGCTGAACATTTGAGCTGAGAGCTGAAAGTGACATTGGAATAGGAACAGAAAGGATGATGTGGCTGGGTAGAGGAGTAGGAAGCAGGTGAGAAGAAGGTGTTAAAATCTGAGAGATGGGCAGGGCTGGGCGGTGGCAGACCTTGCAGGCCATGATAACCTCTCTGAATACTATTTCACAAGAGACATGAATGAGGATTATGAAAGGCATCTGACATCCTTTGGTCATGGTGAGACTTAGGCACTAGAAGGGAAGCAGAAAGTATCACTGACTTATGTCTGCCTCTGGCCATCTCTTCCCCTGGCCAGTTTCCTCACCTGTAAGACAGAAGGGTTGATAGATTCCATTTATGTCACTCACAGGGATATAATGGGGATTAATTACCATACTGTCTGTAATATACTTGGAGCTCTTTAGAGAAAGGCACTATATTCCATGAAAGCAAAGCCTTCTTCTAATTGTGTATTTATTGATTAAGTGACAATCATAGACAATGCTTATGGGAAAAATTGCTATCTCTCTGCTGTTCACAAACAAATCCCATGCGTATAGATACAGAGCATATTTAAACTTACATATAACAGCACTGAAGTGGCCATTAACAAGCCTTTTTAGCATCTAATCAGACATTATTAATTAAATTAAAAGCTATGTTAATTAGCATTCAATAGACCAGAATTTAGTTTCAGTGGCACAGATAGTTAAATTAAGTATTGGGGGTGCCCTTTTCTATTCATAATAGAGGGTTGACTCTCAGAAGAATTTTATCTTGGGAGAATAAATTGAGATGCAGTATTTCAAGCAAGCTAATGTCTCTATAGATGGAAACCACATCCTCAGCTCCTCCCCTAAGCTTTAGAAATATGTATTTCAAATTTAGATATATTTGATTAGTGAATAGAAAGCTTTTGTACCAGAACTAATTTCAGTAAAATTCCAAAGATTCTTACAGGAAAGTATGAATTTCACTTTATTATCTAGTCCTGTAATGCTTTTATCTACTCTGACTCTTGAGGAACATAGCCGGGCTTGTTCTTAACATGTAGAATATGCTGGTCTTTGACCTTATATTGGCCTGTGTTCAGAATCTCAGCATGTGTTGACATTCAGATATGGAAACCAGCATTGTTGAATTTTGTTTGTTTGTGCTTTGCTGAAGAGCTAAAATGAAGAGAGAGAGAGAGAGAGAGAGAGAGAGAGAGAGAGTGAGTGTGTGTGTGTGTTCTGTGTGTGTGTGTTTTAATAATGCCCACTTTAGTTTTGATATTCTGGCAATAATGGTGTTTGAGAGGGAGAATGCCACTGTGGGGACCTCAGCTGAGATTGTTGGTCCAAATGGGTCAGCTTTAGAAATTTATGGTTCAATGAATATATTAAGTCAGGGCAGTATACTTTTAGATGGTAACAAATGGCTTGTCCTTATTTTAATCCTATAAAATACAGTGAAGATCATACTAAACTTTCTGTATTTGCAACAAATAAACCTGTTAAAGGATAAACTCAGTATCAAGGTTCTGCAAGTATCCTAAGTAGCTATTTATACACTTCACTAATCTTTGTAATTGGCTTGTCTTTTACTGCCATTAATTAGATGATGTAGTATTCCATTAATAAGAGTGACACACCTCAGCATTTTTACCTTTAATTATAGACTTCATGAGACACTTAGGCTATTGACAAAATGGCCTAAACATTGCCTGATGCACACATATCTTTTTTATTCTCTTTCAGCACCCTTACCCTTCTGAAGAACAGAAAAAGCAGTTGGCACAAGACACGGGACTCACCATCCTTCAAGTGAACAATTGGTAAGTAATTTGGCTTTGTGTTTACACACAATCTGTTTTCCCCTCTGGCAACCTGCAGCTCATGTTTTGCATGAAGAAGACACGCCCAGTTGCCACTGCTTTCCCTGGTGGCTTGTTGATCCAAAAGTGAAAACAAACTGTTGACTGATATGTGAGAACATTTGCTAGTATGGGAAATAAAACATTGTATTGCCTTCTACCTCCTTTATAAGTTGACAATTTATGCGTAGTATTAAGTATGTGTGTGATTCACATTCACTATGGCTCTGCAAATGTCTCTCTCTCTCTATGGCTTTTTTTCCCCCCTTCAGGGTAATGACAGAGTGGTATCATCCTATTTTCTACAGAACAAGAAAATCCACCATCACATATCAGTCAGATTTAAATCCATGGAATAACTAAATTTAGTTAGATTTCGTTAGGGCTATGTATTCAAGGATAGTCTCTCCTTTACTCTTATCTCTGGAATACCGAAAGGAAGAAATTATTTATGTTTCTCTTTGAGGCTATTCCAAACCTGAGGTATCTGAGGGCTGTTTCTAAATAAAGTGTAAATTCCTGATTTGGGGCGAAGCTGAGATTATGTACCAACTACCAGCCAACAATATTCTGACTTAATGTACAGCAGTGTGGCAATGAGGCTTTGAGAAAGTATGATTTATTACCCTTTGTGAATGTGCTGAAAGCCAGGTTTCATATAATCACCCAGGGCTAGTGTCATATTTGAAGGGTATCGAAATCCAATATCCTCTAAAAGTAAGTGTATCTAATTAATTGTCCTAATATTTTTACATTAGTGTTTATGATGGGGAAACCTTATCCTCTTTGAAGTAAAATCCAGAAAAGGCCCAAAGCCTGGGTTGGGGAAGGGGAGAACTAGGAATGTTAGTTTGCAGACAGAAGTATTTCTTTCTGTTCAATAAGTGTCAAAGATTAATATTACAGAATCTCTGATTACATGGCCTAATCCATTTTGGTGAATAAATTTGTTCTTGATGTCTATTGCACCTACATTAACAGACCCTTCTCTGTTAGAGAGCCTGGGAGCCTTTGGGAGAGATTTCAGATATATTAAACCCCATTACAGAAAATGTAATTTCTGTCAATATAATCCCATGTATTCTTCAATTTAGTATTTTAGAGATAACAAGCTACTTACAATATATTTGCCTTTGGAGGATTAATTTACAAAGTGCACTATCTGCAAGACACAGACAGACTCACATAAGCATTGCTTGTAAGGGTTATCAATTTCTATGACCTTACTGCAGCCTTGAGAGATCAATTTTTGCAGCCCTTTTCATCAGGGGATGGTAAATGAAGCAAAGGCGTACTACATCTAAATGTGTTACCAGGAGTTGTGTGGCTGCTGAGGTTTTTGTTTGCCTATTTTTACCTGCTTCTGTGTCTTAATTTTCAAGGCTGTTAACACTACGTATTGGAACTTTCAAATGGTTCTGGACAATATTATAGGAAAGACCATCAATTTTTCATGCACATCTAAATTCATATACCTATATTTTAAAACTTAAAACTGATGTTGAGGCAGTTTTAATACAGTGGAGGCTTCACAAATGTCACATTTCCCTGGGAAGTGTTCCTGTTCGCAAAGGAGTGACAGGACAAGCTCTCTAGTTAAGAAACCCAAAAGTGCTATCACTCAGGGGATCTTTCCTGTGAGCCATCTCTCTTCCTCTGCAGGGTTGCTAGCAAACTCCACTCATAAACACGGTTACCAGAAAACAAATCCCAATACAAGTTGCTTACGATGGGTGGATAATCTTATTATGGGATATTTCCTGTGAATGCAGGAAGAGGAAAGCATTCTTGTGACTTCAAGCAATATATATATACACACAATTTTCTAGATTCTATACACAATCTCTGCCAGAGAGCAACCTTCCTAATCAGTGATCACAATTCGACTTTTGTTTTGTAACTAGAAGAGAGAGAAAGGATGTTTAAAAAGTTTTAATTCATACTCTAAAATAATCTTTAAAGTATATGCAGACTTTACCCTAAACTTCACACTGCTGTTCAATTCTGCACAGATATATAACTTAAAAATAGCTTCTACTAGCCGGGCGCGGTGGCTCAAGCCTGTAATCCCAGCACTTTGGGAGGCTGAGGTGGGTGGATCACGAGGTCAAGAGATCGAGACCATCATGGTCAACATGGTGAAACCCCGTCTCTACTAAAGGTGCAAAAAATTAGCTGGGCATGGTGGCGCGTGCCTGTAATCCCAGCTACTTAGGAGGCTGAGGCAGGAGAATTGCCTGAACCCAGGGGGCGGAGGTTGCGGTGAGCCGAGATCGCGCCATTGCACTCCAGCCTGGGCAAGAGCGAAACTCCGTCTCATAAAAAAAAAAAAAAAAAAAAAAAAAAAAGCTTCTACTTAGTTATTTGGGACAGAAACACAATTCTGTGCTTAACTGCCACTTTGTGTAGTGTGTGGGCTCTCTCTACTTGGATATATACATGGAGTTAGAAGTGGCTTTTGCTTACACCTCAGTGCTTTGCATTTGGCAATTGTTTCAACACTTAACAACTTTGCTATAGAAAATGTCCCTCCAGTAACTAAAAGTTGTAAGAGAGATTGTTTTTATTCAGTTTGACAAATAATGACAATACTATGTTTGATTTGAACTATTATTATTTGTTTTTGAGACGGAGTCTCGCTCTGTCGCCAAGCTGGAGTGCAGTGGCACCATCTCAGCTCACTGCAACCTGCGCCTCCTGGGTTCAAGCAATTCTCCTGCCTCAGCCTTCCAAGTAGCCTCCCATAGCTCCATGAGTGGAGTTTGCTAGCAACAGGTGCACGCCACCACACCCAGCTATATATTTTTTTTTGTTTTGTATTTTTAGTAGAGACAGGTTTTACCATGTTGGCCAGCATGGTCTCAATCTCTTAACCTTGTGATCTACCCACTTCAGCCTCCCAAAGTGCTAGGATTACAGACGTGAGCCACCACGCCCGGCCCTTTGATTTGAATTTTTAATGGTTTATTAACTTTTATGGAAACTTCTTCCTGTTTTAGTTTTAGTTTTAGTTTTTGAGACTGAGTCCTGCTCTGTTGCCCATGCTGGAGTGCAGTGGCATGAACATGGCTCAATACAAACTCCAACTCCTGGCTCAAGTGATTTCCTGCCTTAACCTCCCTAGTAGTTGAGAATACAGGCATGCGCCACCATGCCCCGTTAATTTTTGTTTGTTTGTTTGTTTTGTTTTGTAGAGGCGAGGGTTTTGCTATGTTGCCCAGGCTGGTTTCTAACTTGAAAGAAATCCACCCATGTCAACCTCCCAAAATGCTGGGATTACAGGCATGAGCAGCTGCACCCAGCTTACAAACATTTTTTTGTAAAATATTTTTAATCTTATCTATACTGAGCATCAGTCCAAGTTATTTCCAACTAAGAATAATAATTTTGAAAATGTCATCATTAGTATTTCTGCATTTCCCTTTCATCTATGTATCCACAACTTTTAAACATCTGTGTCTTCCTTCTTGGATTTCTTAAAACTTGTTAACACACATGTACATTTTTGTATGATCTATGAGTCACTGTTGAAATGCAATTCAATAAAACGCTGAAGGGCAGATTGAGTGTAGATCAGTCATAATTACTGGCAGCAACATAATGTATCAAAATATATAATATGTAAGTGAAAAATACAAACTCACATCCAGTTGTTAGAGTGTCATAGAAACGCTGGCTGATCCAGTTTTAAGTTAGGCTTTGACTGAAAAATAGACAAGAAGTTTGCTACATTTTAATTGTTCTTTCACTTCATCATTGAACTAATTTTACATTTCTTGAATTGATATAGTGATATAAACTATCTGCCTCAAGTGGCTAAGGCTTAAAGTACATGGGATTTAAGGAGAGAAAGGCAAAGAGAGTGCTTAAAAGTAAAACAATAAGACTGATGCGATTAATTAAGAGAATTTGGAAGGAAAGGAAGTCTCGTTATAACTATTATTTTGGTCCAATTGTCAGAATAAAAATGGAAAGAAAGAAACTTAAAATGGTTGGCATCAGTACTTATAGCATTTGGGCCCTAGGAAGGAATGTGAAATTTATTAGATATGACAATGTAGGCTATGTCTATGCCAATAATCTTTTTGAGAATTGAGGCAATTATGCAAAAATATTTGAATAAAATATTTTTACATAAATTATTTGATGTAACTGCATGTTTTTTAAATATCAACTTCCATAACTAGTTGCCTAAATATTTCAGTCTAGTATGTTGTGATAGACATAGATTTAAGAGTGTAATCATTTTTGAAACCTAATACGCACCATAGATTTATATATTCTTCCTTCTTTGGTCCCTTGCTCCCAATTATAATTTTATCCAAAAATGATAAAATAATACCATTAGGGGCTTTTGTTTTTTTGTTTTTTTATTGTTTTGGTGGTTGTAACAAATGCTTGTGTTACATCAGCAGTGCAAACATTATCAATATGCTGAATGTTTTAGTAATTTAAGTAGAAACATCTTAAATTTTGAGATTACATGGTTATTTATACCTTTAAGTATTTAAGTAGAACTTTACAGGAAACATACACACATACACACACACACACACACAGAGTTAATACTTGGTTGTTTTTTCTCCTGAAGAGACCAACTTAAATTTTTTATATTGAAAGTGTGAGTGTAGAATGGTCAGATAAAAATTCCCTTATACATGATCATACCAATGTTGCAGGCCTGGGAATTCCCTGGGATGAAAACTTATCTCTGGTGATTGTGTCATACTTACTGGATGCCTTAGTTGTCTCCTGCCTCAGCAGAGTTTTAGCCTAGAGTGTACTGAATAAATTTTACAGTTTCTCTGTTTACAATTCCTCTTCCAAACACTTTCCCATTAAGGCCTGATATTAAATGATTATCCCTTTATGTTCTGAAAAGGAAATAAGGGTTTTAAGTGCAAAATATATAGTGTATATGAAATATAGTATTTATATGGAGAGAAAAATCATTCTCCTTC